ATATAACTGTAGGGCTTTGGAGACTGAAGCCAATAGCACTCAAAAGAGGCCAGGAAGCCAATATCTCACAGGAGGCTTACGCCACAGAGCCCCCTTCCTGGTGGGTTATTCCGTAGAACAGTCATGACTCAAGTGAAATACATTATCTGTCCTACTCCCCAGATATGACCACACATTTAGGGCCCAATCGGGCACCCATGAAAATAAATGGCAAAACTACCATGGGATCAAGACTGGGCCTTTCAGCTCCCCCAAAAACCCAGCCGATGCTCCACCCTGACGAACTCACTGATCTCACCTCTGTAGAGACTTGCATTCTCCCTCCCCAAGTGCAGCTCCCTGTAGCCATGTGCAGGACATTAGACAGAGCTGCTCAGTCTGCACTTAGATGGCTACTTGTGCATAGGGAGCCAGCTTGTTCTTCTGCAGTAAAAACCCTATGACTTCATCGAAGGGATGGCATCTGGTTTTGCAATTGGACATAATTCAATTCTCCCTCCTCGCTACAGAAACTTCTGCGGGTGGAGCGGTGATTTTGTGAGCAAGATTGCGCTCGAGTGCAAAGAAATCTTGAGGTTACAATTGAAATCCCCGTTATTGTTATTACAGTTCACGCAAAAAAAAAAAAAATGGCCAGGTTATGGGACTCCTGCTCTTAATTACAATATTTGTCAATTGTAGGTTACAAAGCCTTTTAAAAGCATTTATGAGTGAATGTAGTCCTCATGAAAGAAAGGGACTAACAGCCTGTAGAGCCAGGCACAGTGTGGCTGCAATGCAACTCAATCCTGACCTGCAGCACCCCATATATTTCAACCCCAAATCCTCTGTCAGTGCCCATCAGTTCTCGCTCCCACCACTGCGCTGCCAAAACCCCTCAATCCTGACACACACACCCCCTGCAAACCGATGGCTGATATGTCAGTCCTGGGTTCTCCACGCAGCTTCGCTGATGCACCTCAGTCCTGACTTGCAGCCCCTTCTGCTAGTCCAGTTCTGGGTCGCTTGCCCACAGCTCTGTCCAACAACAAAGCAAAAAAGAGCAAAACCTGCAGCATCCCCCTGCTCTTTTAGTCCTTGACACCCCCTTGGCTCTGCCAATGCACCTCCAGGCGAACCCACAGCAACACCCCCATTATTCGAGTCCTGGGCCTGTGCTGAGACGAGA